GTGGTTGCAAGGAGCAATGCCGAAGCAGAATTTAGGTCAATGGCTCATGGGATTTGTGAAGGGATGTTGCTCCAAAGGATGCTTGCGGAACTACAAGTTCATACTTACCATGAAGTAGATCTATTGTGTGACAACAAAGCTGCCATAAGCATTGCTAAAAATCCTGTGCAACACGACAGGACAACATGGGGAAATTGATAGACATTTCATCAAGGAAAAGATTGACAATGGATTAATTTCTCTTCAACACACACCCTTAAGTCATCAAACAACTGATATCTTGACCAAGGCACTTCCTAGAGCCAACTATGGAAACTTTTAAGATTCAAGTTGGGCATGATAGACATCTATAACCCAACTTGAGGGGGAGTGTTGGTTGTTGATCTGCAACCTTTAAGGCACAACTATGCAGCCATTAATAAGGGACAATACAAATTTTATAGCTGTATTATATGAATACATTTATACTTATTTACACAGTCATATAGAATATTTCCCTTCTTGTAAATAAGAATTAATTCGAGTTAATTAAGATTTAATTAGTTTCTATAGTTACTTGTACTACCTAGGGTATTTATATCCTATTCAATTATCTACACAATTTCTACAGTTACAACTAGCTAACATTATTATGCATTCTGCTTGGGGAATTACAACCAGCATGCAATAATTGACACTAGGGATGATAATATACAGGGTACAAATGTACCCCTCCTCGTATCCGTGTTTTAAAAAAATCTCTGTACCCGAGTCCATATTCGCATGGGCATCAATGTTTGTACCTGTATCCATATCTAATGGGTACCTAAGTACCCATATCCATATCCGTTACCCACATTTCTAGTAAAAATAATTCTATCAATTATAAAATATCATACTATATATAGTTCTTGAAATTAAAAAGATTTTCAAAGATTTTATTGTTAGATTATGAAATTGTTGGAATTTCTGCCTTCATTGGTCCGCCCTTAGTCGCTTAAATTGCGACGTTTGGCTTGCCTTTATTGCTGCCTCCAAAACCTTCATTTTCATTGTAATGGGTTTGAAGGGGTAGATTTGGTCCCACATTACACATATATAACTTAATCTGAAATTCTTATTTTATTATGAGGAGAAATATATATATATATATATATATATATATATATATATATATATATATATATATATATATATATATATATATATATATATATATATATGTAATTCGGGGTCTTCGAAGAGATTTTGTAAAGAGGTCAGCAAGTTGATCCTTGGAATTAACAAAGGAGGTTTTGAGGGTCCCAGTGGTAATCTTCTCTCTAAGAAAGTGACAATCGACTTCTATATACTTTGTCCTTTCATGAAATACTAGATTGGAGGAGAGATGCAAAGTTGATTGGTTGTCACATACAAGTTCCATAGGGCCAACTTCACAAAAATGAAGTTCCATAGGGCCAACTTCACAAAAATGAAGTTCCATAGGGCCAACTTCACAAAAATGAAGTTCCTGTATTAAATGCTTTAACCATAAGAGCTCACATGTGGCATGGGCCATGACTCGATACTCAGCTTCTGTACTTGATCGAGCAACAACTGTTTGCTTTTTGCTTTTCCATGAGATCAAATTTCCACCAATAAAAACACAATAACCCGATGTAGAGCGTCTATCACTTGCATCTCCTGCCCAATCAGTATCTGAATATCCAATGATAGCAGTGTTGTCTCTATCACAAAAAACAAGTCCTTTTCCAGGTGATCCTTTGATATACTTAAGGATTCGAATAACTGCATCCCAATGGTAGTCACAAGGAGAATCCAAGAACTGGCTTACTACACTGTCTGAGAAAGATAATTCAACTTTCCTATAAGTCTTTGATATCTTCCCGGATCAATATATGTCTCCCCCTGATTAGGGAGAAGCTTTACATTAGGATCCATAGGAGTGTCAACTGGTTTGCAGTCTGTAAGGTCTGTTTCTTCCAAAATATCAAGAGCATACTTCCTTTGAGAGATAACTATACCTGACTTCGATTGAGCTACCTCAATTCCTAGAAAGAAGAAAGAGGACCCAAATCCTTAGTCTGAAAATTCTGAAATAATCACCTGTAATTACAATGTCGTCAACATAAACCACTAGTTAAATATATTTATTGGAGGAGCATTTTCTGAAAACAGAGTGATCTGATTCACACCGATTCATCCCAAATTGTTGCAACATTTTACTTAATCTTTCAAACCATGTCCGAGGTGATTGTTTCAAGCCATACAAAGACTTATGTAATTTACATACCCGATTACACTCCCCTTGAGCAACAAATCCAGGAGGTTGCTCCATGTAAATCTCCTCTTCCAAGTCACCATGCAAGAACACATTTTTGATATCCAATTGAAATAGAGGTCATTGTTTCATGGCAGCCATGGCTAGAAAGAGACGGCAACAAGAGAGAAAGTATCACTATAATCTTGACCGGGGACTTGAGTGTACCCTTTTGCCACTAAGCAAGCTTTCAATCGATCAACCTGTCCATAAGGACCTACCTTAACATTAAATATACACCTACAACGAACATCTATCACATCGGATGGACTAGACAATAAAGGACTCGACTCAATCGACTCAAAATAAGGAATAGGCAAAATTTGATTTAAATTAGTTTTAGGGACACATGAGTTGGAAAAATATGGTACGTCCTCAAAGAATGTAACATCTGCAGACGTGTAAAAACGATGTGTAGAAGGAGAGTAACACCGATATCCCTTTCGGACGTGGGGAGTAACCCAAAAAAACACATTTGATGGCACGGGCAAATATTTTATCATGACTCGGGGACAAATCATGAACAAAACAAATACATCCAAAGACACGAGGGGAAACAACATATAAGAGATCTGTAGGATGCACTACGAAATGAGGAACCTGATCATTCAACACAGAGGATGGCATCCGGTTAATTAAATACCTAGCAGTAAGAACAACATCACCCCAAAACTTTAGAGCTAAATTGGCATTTAGCAAAAGGGTACGAGCAATGTTAACAATGTGTCTATGTTTTCTTTCTTTGTTGAGGTATATGGGGACAACTCGATTGATGTACGATGTCTTTGGAGTGCATGAAATAGTTGAAACGATCAGAACAATATTCTTTTGCATTGTCACTGCGTAAAATGCGAATTGTTATGCTAAACTGTGTCGTGATTCCAGAACAAAAATTCTTAAAAATATTAAACAACTCAGAACAATCTTTCATTAAAACTTCCAAGTACATCTTGAGAAATCATCAATAAAAGTAACATAATACCTATACCCTAGGATAGAAGGAATCCGACTAGGACCCCACACATAAGAATGAACGACATCAAAAAGAGACAAAGCTCTGTTATTAATGCGGTTGGAAAAAGAAACTCTTAACATGTTTTCCTAACCGACACGACTTGAATTATAGGGGCTCTAAAGGAGAAAGATCAGACACCATTTTCTTCAATTTTGATAAACTTGGATAACCTAAGCGACGATGCAGAAGATCAGGAGATTCAGTAGTAGCACATACAACGGAAGTGGGTGGTTGAAGATAATAAAGACCACTGGATTCTTTTCCGACTCCAATCGTTTGTTCCGTACTCTGGTCCTGTATCAAAAAAGTATCGGAAGTAAATGTTATGACACAGTTTAAAGAGCTCGTTAATTTGCTTATAGAAATCAAAGACAGTGAAGGAATAAGTGATACTCGTCTAACACCAGTTGCCTCAACTTTAGATCCCTCTGCAACAATAATATAATGCGGGTATTTAGGTGGTGATAATTCAGAGAAAACTGAGGCATTACCAGTCACATTGTCTGAAGTACCAGAATCCATAACCCATCCAATAGAAGTACCATGAGAAAGACAAACCATAGAACTACCATTATGGGCAATAGTAGCTGAGGACATTCGCAAATACTCCTGATACTCGTTGGCATAGAAAGTAGTTTCAAGTTCACCCATTGATTCACGATCTGCGGTGATTTGAGCAACATTAGCAGTTTCGTTCGGGTAGCCATGTAAGTCAAAACACAGATCTCGAGTATGCACATCTTTCCTACAATGAGTGCAATAGAAGTTACTTCTACCTCCTCTACCACGTCCTCGACTCCGACCACGTCCACCACGTTCTCCATTACTAAAGCTAGAAACAAAAGCAGAGGACTCAGGAGTAGTATGAGTGTCATCACTTGGTAGAGATACCCGAATGAGACGATCAATTAGTTCTTCTACCATAGGAATGGTAGTATTTGTTAACGCCTGGTCTTTAACTGAACTATATTCTTTAGAGAGGCCATGAAGAACAAACACCATGAACATATTGTCAAACTTGCCCAATATCTTCGTAATATCATCACTAACCAGCATAAGTTTGAGGCCATCAATAATAGACTGAACACGAGTGAGATATTCTGATAAGTCTTGATCATTCATCTGAAGAGTAGTCAAGTTGCGGACCGACGCATACATTCTTTGAATATCATTAGCTAGAGGTTCTTTTCCTTCTGCCAAACCTCATAACATGATATATACGCACAAAAGTGTGCCATTAGATTTGGTTCAATAGAATTCCACAACAATGATACAAGTTGATAATCAACAGCTTCCCAATCATCTTTTATCTCTATCAATTTCTGAAACCTTTTTAGTAAGATGGTTTGACAGACGTTGTCCTAAAAACTATCTCAACTGAAGCATACCAATTCAAATAGTTCTTAATACCATTTAATTTAGCCGTGGTAATAAATGACATTCCTTGAAACACAAACGAAATAAGACTCTTTTTGAGAGCATTCTCCTTAATAACTTCATTCTTTGGATTTGAAATTTCAGTCATGATTAACACTGCCAACAAAAGAACTCTAGATCGCAGAGACAACACACAATTGACAGATTGTATGTGAACATAGAGAAATAACAACGAACCAATACGTCAGAGGTAAAGAACCGGCCGAAACGTATCTTAAACGTGAGACCCACAAACTGAAAGTGGTTCCAATGGAGTCAGAAGGCAAACCTGAGTCGGTTGCAGCAGTTGCCGTCGGAAACAGACAGCTAGAGGGAGGCGCGTGTCCTTTCATGCGCCGACGAGTGGGCGAGATAGGCCGCGTGTGGAGCGGCGTGTGGGGGCGCGTGGTTAGGCTTTTGACGAAGCGACTTTTGCAGGTGGCAGATCGAAGAACTCCGACCACTGTAGAAGGCTGTGTGTCACTGTTCACAGACTTGAAAAAAAAACTCTTGAATACCCCAAAGAAAGAAAAAAAACAGAAAGAAAGAAAATAGGGTAGTGAACCAAAAAAAAAAGGGTTTTGAATCAAGGCTCTAGATACCAAATTGAATATGAAATTCTTATATTATTATGAGGAGAACAATTACACGCATTTATATAGGTGTAAGTCTCCTAATCAACCTCACTAATTAAGGAAAGATATGATACAATAATATCCTAATTGATACTACTAATAAAAACAATAGGTATTAAACAATAATATTAAAATAATATCTCAACAATATATATGACATGTGTTGTGTTTATAAGTGGGGACAATCCTCACTTTAAAATTGATAGAAATACATTTTTATATAATATTATAAATTATCATATATAAATATATATGGTCCAAGTATGAGGTGGGGCTTAGTATCTGTATCCGCACCCAAACTCATTTATTTTAGTGGGTAATTACTCTTGTTCATGTCTGTATCTATTTTTTGGATTTTTACTCTGTCCGTATCTATTTCTCTATTTCTGCATCGTCCATTCTTTTGTCTCATTGAGGCCTGAGTGTGAGTGGTTGTGTTGGAATTTCCGCCTCATTGCGGTCTGTCCCTAATTGTCTAGATTACGACATTTAGCTTGTCCTCATTGCTGCCTTCAACACCTTCATTGTGTTGGATTTGAAGGGGTAGATTTAGTCCCACATGACATGTATTGTGTTTATAACTGGGGATAATCCTCACCTTACAAGTCGGTTTTGTAGGGATGAGTTAGGCCCAACCCACACATTTCAAGAGAAATAAACAAACATTTGTATTAAAATGCATAATAGTTTGATAGTGATATATTTTTTGAATTGATAGAAATAAATTATTATATCTAAATATATACGGTCCGGGCACGAGGTGGGGCTTAGTACCCGTATCCGCACCTACATTCGCTTATTTTAATGGATAATTATCCGTATCCATGTCTATACCTATTTTACGGATATTTACTCTGCATGTTGTGGATATTTTTTGCGGATATCCACATAATATGAGTCAAATTGCCATCCTTAACTGACACTTATTCTAGCACATACCTTAAATACAAGCTATCTATGTAGAGTATAAATTGTGACTTATCTAACATTTCATGATTTTGATTTATCTTTTTGCCTTGATGGGAATCATTTTGCGAGATTGGTCAAGAATTTGAACCAGCTTCTTTATTGTGCTTTTTATTATTCTCTGTTATTTCTTTTATTGATGATATATCACGATGTTATAACTGCTTTTGGTTTTAAAGTATCTCTATGGCTTCTTGAAGTATTAAAGTCTATCCCTATTCCTTAGCTTTATTTTTTTTTTTATATTTCTTGATGCTGTTGGACAAATTTAGAGGTACGAAGATGTGAGCAAGCAAAGATTTGATCGAGCTATACTAACCTTTTTACAACATCTTAGAAGGTGTTATATTGGTGACCAGGTTGTTTTGTCTTCCAAGGTATTACTTTGGGAGATATTTTCCTTTCAACTTTTAAGATTTTAAAGAAAGTTCAGCCACTGTATTTTCTTGATATTTTGGATGGCAACTGCAGAAGTTATATACCCGGCTATCTGAACTTCTTGGACTACACGATCATCTACTACTGATAAATGTTATTATAGGAAAGATTACTACTAATCTCAAGTATTACACAAAGGTGGGGATTTTAGATTTCATAATCCTCCCCATTACTATTATTATTGAGTTCATAACATGGAAACTCTATTTGCAGTGCAAAGAGCTTATTGATCATACATTAACTCTCTTCCTGGAAATGGCATCAGGGTTAGTCTGGTTGCTCAACTTCTTTGGAGTATTATTATTTATTGTTTACATTTTTGGATGTTGTTTATATAATTTGATAAGGATTTTGTTTCTGTAGAGCCATGACGGGAAAGCTGCTTCTTAAGTTGGATACTGTTCAGCACATAATTTTGAATCATAATGTGAGCTACTTCTAACCATTAAATATGAGATACACTTTTTTTTTTTTGGAAACTCTGTATGAACTGGTCTAATACAATATTTGTTGGGATTAGCGGGATTTGAAATCGAGACTGAGAGAAGCACACTCTTAGGTTCCAAGCCTTCACCAACAGGCCAAACCCTGGGGGTTTATGGGATACACTTTTGATCTCCTTTGTACTACTTACATATTAAAGTTATACTGCTTAGAGAATGAGAAAGAGAGAATAAATACGACACAATATATGATTTTGTGCATCATGATGTGAAAGAAATACAAAACACTGACTCAAGAGAAACTAATTTCTTGATTTTTGTATATTTGTATTCTTGTTTTTATCAACAGAGTTCTAAGGGAAACTTTTCTCTTACTCTCCTTTTCAGAGGGAACAATTCCCTTTTTTAGAAAATTGGGAATGTTTCCGCAGCAGAACAACGCTGTATTATACATTTGGCATGTTGGTGTTCATGGAAGATAGCAAATTGAAATTCAAATCTTCAATGGAACCTTTCCTACAGGTTGGTAGTTTTTGTTTACCATTTTACCATTACAATTCAATAGTGCAATAATGAATTTTAGAAGATGTAGTTTTAGTTTTTCTTCATATCAGTTTTATGAAGTTGAGTCAATTGTATAAATCTTTTGAAAAAATGTTCATCTGTTTTCATGCATGTAATTTTTTTATAACCTTAGACAAGACACTCTTGACGTCTTTGGACAACTAATCAACCAAACTACATACACCTGTGCCCCCCCTTCAATTATTGACCACTTAAGATTCTTATGTAACTATTGATGCATGTTGTTCTACCATTATACTCTATCCGTTTTAAAATGAGTGTCGTTTAAGGTTTTTTAACCCAGATTAAGGAATGTAATAATAGTGTCATAAGACATTGTACTTTTACTATATTAACCTTATAAATGCGTTGGAAGTAGTGTAAAGAGTAATAATTAAACGGCATAATTGGAAAAATATCATTTATTTCTACATTGAAAAGTGAGAATGACATTCATTTCGAAACAAATTTTATTTGTTAAAACGATACTCATTTTGAAACGGAGAGAGTATACTGAACTAGTTTATAAATGTGAAATATGTCCAGCAAAATATTTGCAACTTACGGTTTAGAATTGTCAGTTTATTATTGATTGGCTTATCCTACTTTTTTTTTTCTCATTCTGATTGATGATTTTTCCACGGTAGGTTTTTGGTAGATTGAATTCAACACCTGATGTATTGTTTCAATCAGAAGCTGTAAAATATGCATTTATTGGGTTGATGCGTGATCTTCGAGGAATAGCAATGGCAACTAATAGGTAGGTAGAATTTCTGTTTTATTGTCTGAGGCCTTGTTTGATTATGGCTTTTTTCCTTTCTCTATGTAGTTAAAAATATTAGTTCGTTTTGGTTTCTTTGGATTGCATTTTAACAGTCGTAGAACATATGGATTCCTTTTTGATTGGCTTTATCCTACACACATCCCAATTCTTTTGAAAAGCCTTGGACATTATGCTGATGCTCCAGAGGTATGTGATCACAAAGTAACTGATGCAATACAAGGAATAATATCATCATCTTAATTTTCCTTTATTTTGTATTATTTGTCATCACATCATTATAATTTTATTGGTGAGTCTAGTATTTAATTTTCCCTTAACAAACAGTCTTGCGTTATCAAGCATGACCAATATTTTGCATTTAAAATATGACTATAAATAACTTGTGAGTTAAAGTTGAGATATATACTCTATGGAGTACATAATATAGGTATGAAGTTTGTACGTTCCCATTATTTTGTTGATAAACTGGCAATAGGTGAGTTAGTTTGGTGATAACATATATAAGTTTTCAATAGGAAAAGTTGATCAAATAAAAGATAGGAACTGATTACATCCGCAGATGCTTGAAAGGAAATTACTGAAAAATATTTCTTGACAATAATAGTAGTGTGATATACATCACATAGACCAATGTATATAAATTATTTAATGCTAGCTTAAAATTCTAGGGTGTCATAATAACATATATTAGGGAAATAAATACTTACCTAATAAAATAGGAAATAATTGAAACAAGTCATTTTTTCCTGAATGTATATGAATGTGCTTAGATACATTGCTCTCAGCAGCATATAACAACAACAACTAAGCCATATATGGATCAACTTTCACCATAATATTCTATTCAAAACTATTCTTTAATTCAAATCTATGATAGTTTCTTCTTCTTATTTACTATTGTTCTTGGCCGGCCATATCGACCCCGGCTGACCATCACGGAGGGCCCCCCCCTGCTTCCATAATTATCTCAAGAGATCTTAAGAGACCAAGAATTGTCATCTTGTTGATCAAAAGAGATCTTAACTGCAAGTACATCCAATGACTCTTCACAGCCCCTTCTAACAATTAGTGAATCCGTTATTTCCCAATATACGAAATCGATTTGTAAGGAGAGGGTTGTCCAGGCTTTATAAACATTACACAGACCATTTCTCTAAGCAATATGAGACTAAATACATCCCTTCACACCCAACACAATGAAGGAGGCTGCAATGAAGGCAAGCCAAATGCAATTCAGGCCGGGCAAGGGCAAACTGCAATGAAGACTAAATTTCCCACACTCCCTTATGGCCGGGCCTCAATGAGCCTGTAGTGTGTATGACGTGGGAAGTCCAGCAACAAATCTAGGATTTATTCTGACTTTATTTTTGGGAGAAGGTAAATAAGGAGAAGAAAGGCCGGTCGTATACGGTGAGAAACATCAAAATCTATGATCCACGGTGCACCCATATTTGATGTACAATTTAAAGAGGCAGGGTACTAAAGTTACCTATTTATGCTAGGGAAGGATTAGGAATATCAGATAAATATCTAGATTTTAACAACCTTACAAGCTCCTCAACTTGATCTTTGTTCAATGTGGTTTTTTCCACCTCATGGACAGATCTGGGTGCTCTAGGACCTGCGTTCTTCACATGTGCTGGTTTTCCATAGAGTTTATAGCAAGTTTCTCGGGTTTCCTTCTGGACAGGTTGAGACCATCGAAAATATTTCGATCCATTGAGTAAAAAATAAGTGTCCGTCTTCCGTAAATAAATAATAATTTCCAATATTGAGTTTGTCCTAAATATCTCATGTCAAAATTGCTAATCTTGTAAACGTTACAATTTTAATTTCCATACCTGGAAGGATGTTTGATTTCATTAGCTTAATGCAGGTAACAACTCCATTGTTGAAATTTGTTGCTGAACTGGTCCTCAACAAATCCCAGCGATTGACTTTTGATTCTTCTTCCCCTAATGGAATACTACTTTTTCGAGAAGTCAGTAAACTGATTGTTGCATATGGATCTAGAATTTTACCTCTACCTAATAAAGCAGACATGTATACATCCAAATACAAGGGAATATCAATTTGTTTGATAATTCTTCAACGAGGTTTGTATCTACCGTAAGATATTATCATAGTTCTATTGTTTTTTACTTTTTAACATCAAGGATGTGATGAAGTGGATGAATTGTTCTAACTTCTAAGTAATCTAGTTTTTGCTACATGTAATGTTAGCGATAGATTAATCATGAACACCAAATGTTAAATTCATTTTTTCAGAGTCATCTTCTCCCTACCACACTATTCATAATCATCTAACTCTTATTTAAATATCTTTTGCATGTTTTACTTAGGTAATGATTTTCACGTGATCCTTGTATAATTTTATTCATAATATACATGTAGTCTGAAATTTGAAAAATGCTAGTGCTGCACCACAAATTCTCAGTATGTTTTATATATTGTAAAACCTGGGTTCATGCTCTTCTTTCACATTTGCAGTCCTATTTATAACATTGTATTCAATTTTTTGTGCTTGAAGTAAAATACAATGGAGTAAACAATATAGGAAGAGCATCATCATATTTTCATTACCCGTAAGTGTTATTTGTTTAATATTTGCTTTTTTGGCTGCAGCACTATCTGGGAACTTTGTCAACTTCGGTATATTTGAACTTTATGGTGATAGGGCCCTCTTTGATGCTCTTGATATCACTATAAAGTTGATGTTGTCAATTCCTCTGGGAGACATATTTGCATTTCGGAAGGTATTACTTTACTTTTATGTTATGTTCTTTATTGAGTTGGTTAATGAAAGACTTGCTTTCCTCCTTTGGTTTCTTGTTTGGTTGTTGTAAATTGCAATGTACCTGTAATTACGAGTACATTTCATTATCAAACCCTACATGGAATAGTTGAATCTGAAATATTTCACTAGCCTTCTCAAGGAATTTACAAGTCAAGGGACCAAATAGAAACCTATGGTGTCATGTGTCTGATACGTGTCAGTGACCGACATGACAAAGGTGTCCTACAAATTTTTTTTTTTTTTCTTCTACACACCTTAGACAATGTTCAAACATACCACAATCTCATATAAGGTAATAATGAACATCTCTAAAAAAGTTGGAACAAAAACAAGTTTTAATATTATTGAAATATGAGAAGCTAAGAGACATTTGATAGACTGGATGACTGAATAGCATTACGGGAATTGCATTATATAGGAAATTATACAGCTTATTGCATTAATTACAAATGGGAATATCGTATTCTATTCTAGAATATACTAAGGAATATTCTATAGAATATATTAAACCATGTCATCATTCCTTACTCACGCTCCTTATCTATAGAATATTCCTTACTATATTCTAGAATAGAATAGGATATTCTAGAATATTCATTACTATATTCTATTCTAGTAGAATAAGGAATATTAGAAGAATTATTATACCTATATAATGCAATTTTTAAAAATAGTCTTTGTGGAGCTTGAGTAAGGAGTTGCTATGTGTTGGCCATGATGAAGTAGAATAAGGGAGAGAATGGAGCACGCAACACATCCTGAGAAGTGGAGGGAACAAAGTCATGCTTGAAGTGATGATAGCAAATAGATGCTTTGTTGCCATATTTTCTACACACCTGGCAATGAATCGACTTACCATGGCCTCCATGAGTCACATGCTGTCATACTGTCATAACTTCTGATCATTTGGATAAATTTAAGTTACAAACATTTTCCTCTTCTGGTCTATTTTGCAGGTTGCAGCGACTTACTTTACGTTTTTGGAGACTCTATTCAATGGCCATTTGTCATTTGTGCTCAATTTAGATAAAACAGCATTAATGCTAATTGTTGAATCGCTTGAGTTAGGCATTAAAGACTTGAGTGAAAAAATATCAGCTCAGGTTTGTAAAAATTTGCACATATTTTGATTATGTTAATTCAACTCTGTTGTCATGAAAATATCAATACGAATTTTAATTCATGAAGTGCATGTCTGCTTGTTATGCTCATGAATAAGGAAACTGAGCACAGATTATTTGATGATCTAATGCCATTTGTTTACATTGATGCATTAAATTTCCTTTCGTTTATGTAGTGCGCCTCTGCTATTGACAACTTAGCTACATTTTATTTCGACAATGTCACAGTTGGATTCATCTCTGAGTTCCCTGAGCTATTCTCTAGAGTAAGTTTGTGGTTTGCTTGCTGCTTAGATTTGTCGTTGTTTCCTTATAATTTATAGTTTTTAAGTGGTCAACTGAATGATTGTTATTCTTTTATCTAACTTTTCTATCTTGTTGGAGATTTGGGATTAGATTAAGGAGAAAATAAGTGATAGGGCTTTGAATATGATAATTGTGTAATATGATTGTTAGTGACTTTATATTAACTAGATACAAAAAAGATTGAGGCTTTGTTTGGGAGTTTGGAGGGGAGGGGAAGGCTTCCGAAAATAATTTTTTTAGAAAATATAGGAAAATATTTGACATTTAAAAAATATGATTTTGTATAGAATGATAAAAGAGTATTTTATCATTACTATATTTTTAATTTTCAGAATACTATACCAACATAAAAGATATTTGAAAAATTTATTTAAGTCCTCCAAAACACTTCTTCAATACAAATTTTGAGTTCCTCTAAATTAGGGTTTTTTTAACGTTATGAATAAAAAGCAAATCCTCCAAAACACTCCCAACCAAAATCCTTCAATTCTTTCCACTCAATCCTTCTTCCATTTTTCAAAATCCTCCTCTCTCTTTTCCTCCAAACTCCCAAACAGGCCTCAAGGGTCTGTTTGAATTAGTTTTAGTTTTTAGTTTTGAAAAATTATTTTGTAAATCAATTTTAAAAAACAGTTTTGAAGAAAAAAAGAAAAAAAAAAAGAAAACATGTTTGGTAATCATATTTTTCAAAAATGTTTTAAAGTTGTACAATATTAAAAATTTGCCATTAATATAAAGGGTAACACTTTACCTTGTTTTTTCTCTTCTCAGTTTTTAAAATTAAAAGCCACACATATAAAACCTATTTTAATTTTTTTAGTTTTTAAAACTCTTAAATAGAGAATAGTTTTCAAAAATAGTTTTGTAAAATTAAGTTACCAAACAAGTTTTAATGTTTTCAAATTTCAAAAAATAAAAACAGTTTCACAAAACCAAATCAAACAGGCCCTAAATACTCACTCTTATTTATAAGTATACAAGACTCCCAATCTTAAGAAAATAAGGAAATAAAAAAAATCACGATAATAACCCAGTAATATGGAAACTAATCTTAAGAAATATTTGATGACTGCATCTCATAATTTGGTGTACTGTGATCAACTATCATGTTTTTATTGTCTCTGTAGTTTTACGACTCTTATTTATTAATGGATTACCTAATTTATTGCGAGTTTCATATTTTTAGAATTTTATATATCTTACTAAGATGTATTGTGCAACGCTATTATGTTTTTAATATACCCATAAATTTATGATTCTAGTTTTAAATATTTGATGACTGCATCTCATAATTTGGTGTACTGTGGTCAACTATCATGTTTTTATTGTCTCTGTAGTTTTACGACTCTTATTTATTAATGGATTACCTAATTTATTTCGAGTTTCATATTTCTAGAATTTTATATATGTTACTATGATGTATTGTGCTAGGCTATTATGTTTTTAATGTACCCATAAATTTGTGATTCTAGTTTTACTTAAGAGACCCATTTTTTGTATGTTTAGATAAAATAAATTTGTTTCTCCAAAATCTTCTTACATTCTCATGTTATTCACCATGTCCTAATCATTAATTATCTCTTAATATTTTTTCCTCAGATATTGAGAACCTTATTTGAGGTTGTTATTTTGGAGGACCGTGGAAATCAATGGACTCATAGCAGTGCAATTCTAAGTATGATACTAATTAGTAAAGAGGTATGTCCATCCTGTTTTAACTAGGTTCCATATTAGTATAATGTGTTTGTTAAAAATAGCACATTTGATGTGATAAGACCTTTAAGTAGGAGGCAATCCTCCCCATATTGGCTGATTTTGTATGGTTGAGATTGCTCAAATTATATGATATCAAAGTCTATCCTAGGCCACGTATGACCACTTGGACCATGCTCCGGATGTCAAGTCCTAGGCGTGAAAAGGCCATGTTTAGAGTACCACATTGAATGTTCACATAGTCTAAAAAAGTGATCAATATTGAAAGACATACTACTAGTCAATTTTTTTGGGTTGAGTTAGACGCAACTCAAATTCTATTCGATGAGTATTTATATATTTTGAATTTGGTGCACATGATTTATATGCTTCTGCTTGAGAGAGAATTGATATTTATGTAAATGGTAAGTAATTAGGATGAACATGCTATTGTAGTTATTATGCAATTAATACAGAGATTGTACGTTGATTCTCAGAACCTATATATTAGAATCTCTCATTGAAGTGTTATAATGTGTTCATATTATCTCATGTATCCTGAAGAAGCATTTCCTCCTGTAGTTGAAGAGCAATTTTGAGTTTTCCCCCCTTATTTGATCTTGGTTAGTAGTCTTGATTGTATTGATGGGCTTGGGTTAACACTTGTACTTGATGTAATTAGTAGTTTCATATATTTTTGTAATACCAATGCATACATACTGTTAAGAGAATCCTTTCTTACTCCTCCCTACAAAATATTCCTATGATTTCTACAGTATATACTAACTTGTTGATTTTTTTTTTCTTGCAGATGTTTGCAAATACGAAGGCTCAAATTTTGGCTTCATATGTAAGTCCAGAGCTGTCTGAAATTTGCTATTGTCCTGCATGTCTTATTACTTAAATTAGCAGTATTATGGTCTTCTATAAACTATATAATACAATCATAAATACAAAATGACCCGTTTCTAGATAAATTAATTAGTAATTGGTCTAATTTTTATAACATTAAACAAAATCAACTGCAATTATTCACACTCTAGATGCTTAATCATAGGTGTGAAGGACATGTTGAGAACCCAATTATTCCACCTACATTGGCCTATGCTCTAGATGTTCAAGCCTGAGCTTGAGTGGGTGTGTTTAAACTCTCATATTGACTAGATATAATGACCTAGGTTGTGCTCATGACGCATTGTTGTTCATCTTACAAGTTTTGGTTTTGTTGGATTGAGTTAGGTTTTGAGCTCGAATTCTTAGATTCTCTGTAATTAGCTAGTATCAATTTAGCTTAACTGTAAATTGAATCAGCCACAAAACACAAAATTGTTCGAAAGAATAACAAGAAATTTGATGTCAAAATCTCGAACACAAACCCTTGTTCCTAGAACAGCTTTCAACTGAACAGATAGTGAGTTTGGGTTTCAGATATCGCAATAAATTGTTCAAGTTGTGGATTTAGTTAGTTGCAAATGGAAGTATGCCTGCTTATAATAGATCCATAATGAATCCGACTCTTCCGTAGAGTATGTAATGGCAGTTTTATTGCACCATGTTTCCTTCGTTCCCGTATGTTAAGATGGATGCATACTTTAGCAGCCATTTACATTTTAATGCATGGGGTGTTTAAGTTTGCACACTACATTGCAAATGGCTACTGCATAATCCAAGGGTTGTTTTAGTTTACAAACATTCGTAGTTGGAAGTAGATATACCGAGGACTAAGCTGGTTTTATATGTGGGGGTATCAACCACCTTACAAGCTGGTTTTGAAGCGTTGAGTTAGATTCAATTCAAAATTCTAAGATACGTTGTTGCTCGTGCACAACTAAAAATTCTTACGATAGATCCCCCAAATCATTGAATAAATTATGTGAAAAAGCTTTTGTTCATTCAATATCCCTAGATTCAATTTTTCCCAAGATATGCTCTGATGAAGTCTCCTATTTTTCCCCCAAGCTTTTGAACATAACTTGCAATTGTTTCTTTTGGTTGAACCAAGTTAACCCAAGAAAAGTCGGTTCATATGGATTTATTTTTTCTTACTAGAAGAACATAAACATTTTGGTAATTTTTTAACCAAATTCGAGAGCCTAACTGCTCAGTTCTAGTTTAAGGCAGACGTTAAAATGAATTTTGGGGTTGTACTTGATACCTTCTCTCATTCTCTATTCCTCCATAAATAGTACAGACTAAATAACTATAGTTAATCACATAATCACCACCACTACTAATTATAAATATATTCTGGTTTAAACTATAATTATTATTATATACAATTATTGACTTCTTAAATTAATACAAAAATATAACAGGAAACTCGTAATAACAGCTTCCCTTATTGATAGATGAAACACTCTAATAACTTTCAAATAACTTTTGAAGAGGTAATTAGTGCTTTTTTAGGTACATAGATATTGAGAACTTTGAAATTATTTGTTTCATCAATGAATTTAGTTAGAATGACATTCTAATTATTTTGTATATTTATTCAGTTTTCTCAAATGAGTATGCATTATTAGCCTTTACAATCTTACCTAAGTTAAATATATGGTTGCTTCATTGTAGTGTTGTCAATTACGCATAGCAGATTGTTACAATTCTGCTATGCAGTAATCACTATAGCAGCTATTTGACAATATTTTGTAATAAATAGCATTTTGCAGAACAATAGCGGTATATCCTATAGCAGCAATTTTAGCAACATTTAATATTTCAAACAAAAGGAAATAAGATTTCTTAAAGGATCTTAACCAGTCTTGTACTATGTTTACTTCTTTGGTTATTCTACTTGTAATACAAGTTGCAATAATTTCTAGTTTTAAAATCTTGCAGCCACCAGACAGACATCAGACACTTTCTCTGTGCTTTGACAAGCTTATGCAAGATGTAAAGATTAGCTTGGACTCAAAGAACAGGAGCAAATTCTCGCAGAACCTAACCAGATTTAAGTCTGAGTTTTGTGTCAAATAGCATCTGTTTGTTAGCTCAAGAAACCATATCGTATCTGCTGCTTTTTCCTTTCCTCATAAATTGTATCTGCCTGGGTCTTTGGTTTAGAGTCCTTAACAATAGTACATTTACCATAGTCCCGTTTTCTATTTTGGTCATGTATTGGCTTGATGAAAGGTCTGCTGGCACCAATGTTGTTAAATGGCGGCCACAGCAGAATAATGTGGCGGATTTTTGACAGCTGTCATAGCCAGTATATGGCCGATTTTTGACCATTTTCTGTGGGATATCTTTAATAGAAAAATCAGGAACATAAGTCTTCAAAAAAAGGCGGGCACAGATTATAAATCCAAATTAAAAAGATACATCGAGTTAAAATGATGTTCAGGTACTGTGCTGGAAAATATTTGCATTATTATTTTATATGATTATTTTTTATATTTAAAACTTTAGGTGATATAGGTTTGAGGATAACACATTTGACCTATTTTAAAAAGATTAAGGGTCAGATGGGTTGTTTTTGAAAGATTTTGGAAGGTTATTTCCATATTTTGATATGTATTTGATATTTTACCAAAATTAAATATAATATAATAATATAAACTAATCTATTGTGTTTTTTTAATAAAAAAAATCAAATATCTATCCAAATATATATAAATGTAGTCTTTCGAAGTCTTTCTAAGAATCAACTAGCAAACTAGTTGGGCGGGGTTGATGAAAGGGAGGGGAGGTGATATTTTTAAATTTTTTAAGAGGGAAGATGAAAGGAAGATATGCTTTTAATAATGTAAATACAATTTTCACATTATCTGTGTTAATTTTAAAATTTTAACAATTAATGAATGAACTTAAATGTATCATTGGTCTCTATTTTGATTGTATTAGTGGAATGTTTTTTTCATCTTTATGGGTGTTCACAACTCTAAATTCGGAATTGATTTCTAGATGCATTCAAAATTACATAAATCTTTGTTTTTTTATATCCATTCTATTTTGAACAAAATATAGTATAGAGATGCATCCATGTACATTATTTGAATGTATTTGGAAATGCATTTCTAAAATATCTTTTGTATTCAATTATTTTTTATTTATTAAATTTGATATTTTTGAGGCACATATATTTCGGTTATTTTAGACCAGCATGATTTAAGTCATTTTAGGCTATATATTTGAAGAAAAGTGCATACATTAATTGATGCAAACATAATACTTAATTATGAAAAAGGCATAATAAGTTGTTCCAAAAATATAAAATAATACAATAAAACAAAAACTTATTAGGTATGCTTAACTTTCTCTTTCCTCTGTTTCACCAATATCTTTCATGAGGATTAATTGGGGTCTGTTATTCTCAATGAGTCCGGTTTCTATGCTTAATCTCTTAATTTTTAGATTGTTGACATGTTTTGGTGTGGTCATCCCGATTATACATAGACTACGATCTAGAGGGGAGGGAGATTGCAAATGAAATTTTCTTGTTTAAAAAATTATTTTAAAAATATTTTATGGTGCGTGAAAATAATTTTGGATGGACAATCGTCTATTCCGATAAAAGATCAGATATATGTTAAATCAATTAAAAAATACATAAGATAAGAAAAAAAATAAATATATTTTTAACAACCGCGTTTGAGTAATATCACACCATAGTAATCGATTTTCAATGAAATATCAAACAAAATCTGATTTAAGCAATTTGTCAAAAATTTGATGTGCAATCAATTCAAATTAGATTTTTCTTTGATTTTGATGATATGAGAAATCAATTACAATCTAATAGATTACAATTAACTCAACAAAACACTTTGAACTATTAGACAAAAAATTATTTCAATGTATCGATTGCATAATCAATTCTTTCACAAGGTGCAAATGTAAATGTGTGTGAGAGAATTTCTTTAAGCAGTTCTTCATTCGACCTCGTTATGGGTATGTTTGCTCTCAATTTCAATAGAATTGAGAGAATGAAAATTAACCTTTTCAAATGTAGTTTACAAGAGAAAAAGTAACAATCCAACCCTCCACCCTATGTTTGACATTGATCCTATATTCTTCTCTCCCTTTGATCAGAGCTCGATCAAGTAATTCAATACTTCCAATTTAATCCTCTAGTTACCGTTACACCTTTGACAGAACCCCGTTCTTCAAAGCTTTCACTCGGCTGATTTTAAATTGTGAATGTATGGTAACTTAAGATTACTAAAGTGAACATTTGATTACCGTTATTCCTTTGACATAAGCCCTGTTCTTCAAAGCTTTCACTCAATTAAATTCAAATTGCGCAATCTTGTGAAAAACTCCCAAATCAACCCTTGATCTTGGAAGAAAACCCTAAATGGATTTATCTTGAATAACTCAAAGAATTTTTAACCCAGTATTACAAACAATCCTAATTGGACCTTATCAAACTATCTCAAGATCACAACAAAAATTGTTGTCTGTGTGTGTGAAAGAGAAAAACAGAAAAACTCAGATTTGCAAAATTACACAATTGGACAATTTTAAAACAGTGGGAGTCGATCCATTTGAGGTGGGAGTCGACTCACAAGGGCAGGGGAGTCGACCCATACTGCCTGGGAGTCGAATCAAAGTGGACATATTTTTTTGAGAAATATGCTTAAGTAGGAGTCGAGACTTAGCAAGTGTGAGCCAACTTCTTCGTGCTTTGTATTGACTCTAAAGGCCTGGGAGTCGACCCATCCTGGATAGGGATTTAAATTCAAAATAGCTTTCAGTGGGAGTCGACCCACAACTTAAGGTAGTCGACTCCTTAGTACCGTGTATCGACTAATTTTCCCTTATGTATCGACCCATTCTTGACAAAGAATTTTCTTTTCATTTTGCTTCAGAAGAAGTTGACTCATAACATGAGTGAGTCGACTACAAACACGATTTTTCACAAAAATTCATATTTTTGACATTTTGAATTGTCCAAATGCTTTTGACTTGTTCCCTAAGTGTCCTAAGATCAAAATGCAACATAGACATATAAAGATAATATCCAATGTACAAATATTACATTACTTAGTTTTGACATCATTCAAAACACTTAAGAGAGGATATTGCACTCATATATTCTCTCTTTTTGATGATGACAAAACATACGCTGTATTTGTAGTCTCTGATCATATCTCTCCATGAATATATGCATATCCCCTTTAGTATTTGTAAAACTAGACGATGTTCTTTATTCTTGATATCTTTCCCTCTTTGAAAACATGAAAAAGAGAAAATGCGACAAAACGTAAGAAACATCAAGTATAGATACACAATCACATATATATCACTCAGAGGCGTTGCAAATATAAAATTGAATAACAACACCGGTACTCACATAGAATGATGATGAGATGAAAAAGCTTGAACATAAATAACCTGCTATGCACAAATGTGCACCAAACATGAAAAACTAGTTTTTCATGCAATAGATATACATAACACGCCCAAGCATAATAGCTTAAGATATTTCAAATGCGAAGAACTTATACCATAAAATACAAATGATGATGTAATACGAATGATTAAAATATGAAGTCACTATAAACATATGGATTGAAAACACTCATAGGTTAACAACACTTTTTTTGGAAGTGAACATTCATGGAATTGCATTACACATAAATTATATCGAATATCTTTGGAACATAAACACACAATCAAGTTACAAGAGACATAGATAAGCAATGCAAAAAATAAAAACTTACGAATAAAGAGAGAAATGAAACGATATTACCTCATAGGATGAGAAATAGAGAATGCACTCACATGAACTAGAACTTTGGAAATAATGTTAAAACAATTATAGAGGTGCATGCATCAAAATATTTAGGTAAAAATTGAGATATCGAGAACGCACAATTCTCGACGAATATTGAAAAATGGTTATGTTGCAAAAGGTTTTGTGAAAATATCTGCAAGTTAACTTTTGCTATCAACATGCTCAAAAACGAAATCCCATTTTATAACATGATCGCGTAGGAAATAGTGACGTATCTCAATATGTTTAGTACGAGAGTGTAGGACATGATTTTTAGTTAGGATGATAATACTAGTATTGTCACACATTATTGGAATACGCTGAAGTTTAATGTCAAAATCAAGTAATTGTTGTTTAAGCCATCAAACTTGAGCGCAACAACTACCCGTTGCGACATATTCCGCCTCAACAATTGACAAAGCAACGAAGACTTGCTTCTTTCTATACCAACTGACTAAAGAATTTTAAAATAAGTGGCAACTTGTATTAGTGCTTTTCGTATCTGATTTGCAACCGGCAAAGTCAGAATTGAAGTAACCAACTAAACTATAATCACATCCTTTGGGATATCAAAGCCTAAACTTAGAAGCACTATGAAGATATCTAAGGATGCACTTTACGACTTTTAAATGAGATTACTTAGGAGAAGATTGATATCAATGCACATGCACACACTAAACATAATGTCAACCTAGATGCAATAAGATATAAAAGAGATCCAATCATCCTCAATACCTTTTGATGTCAACACCTTACCATTTTCATCTTTGTCCAAATATTCGTTTATGGGGATTGGAGTGTCAATTGACTTTCCATCTACCATTTCTAAGTGTTTAAGCAACCCTTACGTCCTTTTTGAGTTGTTTAATTTGAGGTCGAGAATGTAGTTTAAATCTCTCATTAGACTCATTTCAAATTCTTCCTGTATTATCTTTGAAAACTCTTTGACTAGTTACATATTAGTAGAACCAAATATGATGTCATCAACATGAATTTTAATGAGTAGTATATGTTTTCCTTGACGTTTAATGAAAAATGTTGTAGTCAACCTTCCCTTTAGAATATCCTTGATCAGGCAAGAACTTGCTAAGTTGCTCATACCAAGTCCTATGGGCTTGTTTGAGGTCGTACAAATCTCATTTTAGTTTAAAGACATGATTAGGATACTCATGATTTTTGAAACCTGGAGGTTGTGAAACATACACTTCTTCACTTATGTAACCATTAAGGAAAACACTTTTCACATCCATTTGAAATA